ACAGTCTAAGCCTTTCTCTTCTCTCAAAACCCCATCTAACTGCCCTAATCCAACAGCAATGATATAAAGACTGGCTTCCTTTTGTTATTCTTGCGTCTACCTCTTCATGATTTCTTCCCCTACACAATCAATATGTGATTCATAAATAGAGGATGTCCATATGTGACCCCAGTGCACAAAACAATGTGTGCCTCAAACACTGAGGAAAAGAATGAACAGTCCTTCGCCCTTACTCAGGTAACTTCTGTCCACATACAGAAAAAATCCAGCCCAGTGTGGTGGTGCACCCAGGGGGGCAGGATACATGAGGACTTGTCTAAAAAAAAAAAAATCACAAAAAAAGTTTTAACGCCTTGTGCGGCTGGAGAGATGGCTCAGAGATTAAGAGCACTGCTTGTTCTTCCAGAGGTCCTGAGTTCAATTTCCAGCAACCACATGGTAGCTTACAACCATCTATAATGAGATCTGATGCCTTCTTCTTGCATGCAGATAGAACACTATATACATAATAAAATAAATAAAGCTTTTCAAGGCAGTGTTGGCGCATGCTTTTAATTTCAGCACTCGGGAGGCAGAGGCAAGTGTATCTCTGTGAGTTCAAGGACAGCCTGGTCTACAAAGTGAATTCCAAGGCACCTAGGGCTATTACACAGAAAAAACCCTATCTCAAAAAAAAAAGTCTTGCATTACTATCGGGCCCTCCCCTCTGCACATCCCTGCTCACTGATCTCAGGACTAACAGTCCTGATGCAATCCAAGCCCCACCACACACACCTCTCTTCATGAGACGCACCTTCAGGTCTCAGCACAGCCTCCTTGGAGAGGCCTTCCCTGACCAGGCTGCCCAAAGTCATTCTGCCCACACTTCTGCTGGTTTCCTTCCTAGTCAGCAAGCCTAGCTGAACTAGCTTCTTATGTATCACTTACTGTCCCCAGGAGAATGTAAGCTCCTTTATAGCAAGGGCCTTCATCTCTGGTCCCACAGTATGACACCATGTTAGTACAGAGCCTGGCATATAGTTAATACTTGATAACAAAAACTTACACTTAGGTGGAAAGTACCATACTAGATAGTAACAATGTATTACATCAATAAATAAAAATAGCTAAAATAAAATATCAGTACAAAAAGAAGTTTGGTATTACAATAGTCCTTCCCTATTCTTTGTTTTATTTGTAGGGTGTGGCTGAGCCTGGATTTTTTTGTTTGGGTTTGGTTTGGGGTTTGTTGAGACAGGGTCCCACTACACACTCCTGGCTGGCCTGGAACTCACTATGTAAACCTAGCTGGATTTCAACTAGATACAATACTATTGCCTCTACCCATCTAGTGTGGGATTATAAGAAGGCAAGACAACGTTCAGTACTTCTATTCTTAATTAGTGACCTTCCACAATAAACTGATCTCTGAATATTTTTAAAGATTAAAGCATAAAATATCAAAATCTTTAAAGCAGTAATAACAATATGTTGGGGCTACATGTTACCTGGGTGATCACATTCTTCTTATTTAATGCATAATTTGTGGGAACTAATTAAGCTACAATTCAATAAAAACAGTATCTAAGAGACTGCAAATCTTCATTATCTTCTCGGGGCACATATTTCTTATAGACAGAAAAGCTTTAATATCTTTCTGTTCATAATATACATAAAAATTTACAACAATGGGTGTCATCAGTTCAACTCACCATTTATTTCCTGGCCTCAGATTAATACACCAGTTTCATTCAAGCCAAGCAGTGATCAAATTCCAATTACTAATCAAGTCCATTTCACAAAAGTCATCACTCAAGTGGTGATTCACCCACACCCAATGACTACTATGAAAGAACATGTCCAACTGAGCTGACAGAGCGTTACCTTGCATTGTTACCAGAGTGCTCTTAGGTCCATCTAACTCAGAACCACAGCAGAAAACATCATTTGTTGGAATCTCAGTAGCTATGACCACTATCATTATGACATCACTAAGCGGCTTGTAAGTGATGCATCGACTATGAAGATGCAAATTTAAAGCTCAAGGCAATGAGCAAGTGACATCATGAAAGTGTTAACTGTAACAGTTTTAGCATGTTTTAAAAGTATAATATTCTACCCCAAAATATTTTAAGGATTGGATATATAAGTTTTAAAATATGACTTACAAAACTAAGAATGGTGACTCATACTTGTAATCTCAGAACTGGGAAGGCAGAAACAGGAGGGCTGCTGTAAGTTTGAGGCCAACCTGGGCTACATATTTAGACCCTGTCTCAAACAAATAAAACTGTGTGTATGTGTTGACCTATATTAAAGAACATGTCCACTGTAACTGGAAGCCCTCCAGATACCACTGCATAATTCTAGATTTCAAAAGAATAAGGGAGATAGATTCATCTTTCAACCAACTCTGATGATGCTATACATTCTGAAAAAGAGTCATTTCAAATACATTCAAGTGCACAAAAGACACACCACTTCTATTTTAAAGTAGCCTTTAAGCTATATTTAAGTGTAGCGGGAGGACTTTATATCTCTTACATGAAAATGTAAGACAATTTTCATTTTAGATTGTTTTAGAACATTGTTAGCCATAAACCCGAGAAACTGAACAAAGACAAAACACAATGAAACCCTAAAGGAAAAACAAATGCTTCTGTTTTCTAAAGTACGCATACCGTTCCCATTTGTTACTGCATTAAACACAGCAGCAGCAGCAGCTTTCTCTCCACTGTAGAAAGCTGACACTGTAGCACCTTTGCTTCCCCATTAGTCAATCACCTATTTGTAGAATCCAGTTCCAGAGCCCAGAATTCACTTCTTGCATACCGTGATAGAATCTTTTTAATATCAGAAAACGATTTACTGTCTCAGAACCAAACATATTGCTCATCAACTCCATCAGAAGCCGGGGCTGGCAGATGTCTCAAGCCTGTGATCTCCCAGCACTTTAGAGTTGTTGGCAGCATCAGTAGCTCAAGCCCAGTCTTGGCTTCATTGCAACTCTGTGCTAAAGGCCAGCCTGGGCTACATGAGATCCTCTCCCAGAAAAACAGAAAATAAAAAACTGACTTTTGTTCATATAGGCCCTAAAATTGCTCAAATTAACCCAAAGTTGTATTTGTCAACCAGTACTTCAAAGACACATTCTTAGAACAAAAGAAGCTTTCCCCAAGAACCAGGCCTTAAGTTATCTTGACTCTCACTGGACCACTAGATATACCACACTTGTTTATCTAAAGAATAACTTTTTAATTAATTTTAAATAATTTATTTATATTGACTCAATGAGAAAATAATTGTATCACCATTACTATAAAAATAATCCATTCTCAGTATAGATCTGAAATTTTTTCACTATTTTTGTTGGAAAGAAATATTGTGATTTATGGCTTACTGGTGTCAGCGATAAGAAAAAACTGTTTTAGAAGGCTATATACTGTCCAAATCCCTTAGATCTGGGTACTACTTTAAAGTATTTTCTTTCTCTGTATTCTACAAATAGCAAATGCCTAAAACCTGCAGTGTAACAGCAGTCTTTCAGTTATTTAACTTCTAACTCTAAGGTGCTTTCTTCGTAGAAAACAATGGGAATGGATACGGTGCTTCTGTGATACTTGCAACACAGGCCATTACCACAGAGAGGATGTTCCAGGTTAGGTTACAAAGACATCACAGATGGCTTTTGACATATATGAATAAATGGAAACCACTCTTTCTCCTCCACCCCCCCCCCGAAAATGAGTATCTTCTCCATCGCTAAAGCCACTTAGAGCCAGGACCTTCGACAACTAGGTAAGCATTAGAAACCTTGAAACTGCTCTCTCCTCTTGAGGACAAACAGTAAATATTTACAAAGTAATCCCATACATATATTTTTGCTAATCTAATCTCCATTACTTCTAAAAATACTATGGGTCTAAAGTGTGAGATAATTTCATGATATATGCATGTATATCACACATATCACAAACTTCTAACCAGTGGTTCTCAACCTGTGGGTCGCGACCCCTTTGGGGGTCATGTATCAGAGAGCCTGTATATCAGATGTTTACATTACGATTCATAACTGTAGCAAAGTTACACTTATGAAGCAGCAACGAAAATAATTTTATAACTAGAGGAACTATATCAAGGGTCACAGCATTAGGAAGACTGAGAACCTCTGATAATTTTGAACTAAACTACCACCGAATTGCATTGTTTGAAATTTCAATAGCAATAGGACTGTCTGGTATCTTCTAAAAAGCTGAGGATATCACAAGAGGACCCCCACCAAATGTATCTAGAGCTTTGGAAAATGTACACAAATGTCTCTAAGTTACAAGTTCAAACACTTCGTAGAACAGGGTTACTACAGATGAGTAACCAAAAATATCTATATTTGTAGGAGAAATTTTGCATACAGGTATGTGGCCTTTTTCTTGGGGGTTGGGGGAAGTCTATGTATCCTTCAGCTTTTCAAAGAGGTTCAAACTCAGTTAAGATTAAAATGCCCTTAAGGACTGTCATCGTTAGATAACTTGTCATGGTCAAGCCAAGCCTTTTCTATTCCAGAATCCAGTGGCTCCTACACAACTTCTGGGTGACACGGGCATGAAATGGTCGTCCGATTCTAACAGCCCCCTCCACCCAGGCAATGCTGCAAACCCGCCCCCGCCCCCATTTTCCCTGAGCCCTGCAGCTCAAAGGTGGCTAGGTTCTGGTGGGACCCAGGAGGTGGCAGGCAGCCGCTACCCGCTTTCTAGGAGCTGTCGAACCCCCGGGGGCTACTGACTGCCACCACGTCCCCCAGCAGCGTCCCTGGTCCAGCGGCTGCGGGCGACACCGCAGCGACCTTCCCTCCCGCGTCCCGCGTGGGCCAGCCACGCACCACACGAGAGACAACAAAGCCCGGCCGAGCGGCCCACAGGGGTCGAGTTGTCACCCTGCGGGGGTCGCAGGCCTGAGGGCGAGGGCTCCCGAGGCACCCCGGCAGCCACCACCCTACCCGCCCGCCGTCCCCCCGTCCCCCTTACCCGCGGGGAAGCTGCGGGCCCCGCCGGGGCTGTCCCGGCCGCCAGCCTCCGGGGCCAGGAAACGGCCCCACATAGCGGGAGAGCAGGCGAGCGGGCGAGCCGGGAGCTCGGGGCCCGCGGTCGCCTCGGCTTCTGGGCGGAAACTTGAGCGGAGCCTGGGCCGCGGCGGCGCGGGCCGGACCAGGGCAGGCGGCTTAACGGCTCCTCAGCGACGGCCCGGGAACTCGGCGGCTGCCATGGCCCCAGCCGGCTTGCGCTGAGGCCCGGGCCAAGGAAGCGAGCGGCTCCCCGGGGACGGCGGCTCGATCCCGGGCTGTGCCCAGGCTCCGACGCTCCGGGCGAATCTGCAGCTGCGGCTCCCCTCAGCACCCTCCGCCCCACAAGAACCCTAGCCAGGCGGGCCTGGCTGCGCCGCGAGGGGCGGGGCCTGGAGGGCCTGGGGGCGGGGCCTGAAGGACCCAGGGGCGGGGCTGGAGGCGGGGTCTCGGACGGTCTTGGCGAGGCAGAGACCTTTTTGCCCAAAGCTTACTGGTGATTATCTCTGAAGCCGCTCTGGTACCTGCCTACTTCTGCATCCTGTTTCCTACAAGCCGAGAGAGCGGCCACGATCTGACCCCAAGCCCTGTCTTCCTATACACGCCATCTGGGGCACTGTTATAAAAGGTGCGAGTAGTCCACGGAACCCATCACTACTAGTTAAAAAAAAAAAAGAGGTCAAATGCGGATGAGGGGCGCTCCATCTGACTCAGACTGGAGATCAGATTTTAAATCGTCACCACGCATTCCAGGAGCACCGTCTACGGATCACGGTGGGAATAGAAAAGAGGTCGTCCCTGCCTCCCACGTCTTAGAGCCCTGCTCCACTTTACTGCCTCCCTTCTGAGGAACAGACGTCCTGAGAAAAGACAAAGGGACGCAGCATCCACTTCAAATTCTTCTTGCAGTATTTAGACACAAAATAAACACTGGTCAACCACCATAGCAGGAGGCGGGCGCTGTGTTCAGCATATCAATAAAGAAAAGCAGAACTCAAGTACCTTAGGCTTCAAGTCCAGTGTTGTTTTTCCTACTGAGGAAGTTGTTAACAAAGCCTCATATTTACATATTTTTCTCAAAAAAATACTATTTAAAACTTGTGAGGTTTAAATTTGGAAGTATATTCTATCGCTCACCACATTTGTTGAAATGTATCCGACTGAGGTTGTACGTCTAGTCGCCTTCCTGCAGACTTATTTCTCCAAACCCTGTGATGTTGGTCAAGGGTCAAGCGATTACGATGCTAGAATGTGACAGAAATATGAAAAGGTAATCAGATGGTTCTTTTCTGAATTAAAATTTTCTGAATTAATTATGACCCTTGAGAAGGATGGGTTTATTAGAAGTTCCACAAAGAAAATCATCAAAACCCCGCATGGTGGCACAGGCCTTTTAATCCCAGTACTCTGGGGGCAGAGGCTGGTGAATCTCTGTGAGTCTGAGGCCAACCTGGTCTACAAAGCAAGTTCCAGCTAGGGATGTTACACAGGGGAACCCTGTCTTAAACACCACCCCCCTCCCCAAAGAAAAAGAAGGAAAAAAATTCACCTACCCAGTTCAGGGATTCTTAAAACTAAACTCTAAAACCCTTTTGTCCAAGAAATTTTTTGCACAACCCTGGATTGTTCAAGAAATTTTACACAACACTGGATGTATAGGTATACGAAATAGTTGTTCCAGTCAAATATTTGCTTATTTCATAAATTTGTTTTAAAGAAATCCTTTGGTACTCATCAATTTTCCCATTTATTAAAGATGAAAACAAATATGTATGTTAATGAGATAGATGCAATTGTTTATTTTGTATAAATGATTAAATCTTGGCCAAGTATAGTAGTACAAACAAGTAAGCCCAGTATTTGTTGGAAACCAATGGATCAGGAGTTCCTGGATTACAACATAAGAGTTTAAGGCTATCCTGAATTGCATAAAGAAGCCCTATGTAGGGAAGAAAAAAAATAAAAGAAGGAAGGAAGGAAGAAATAAAGAAAGGGAGGGAGGGAATGGTGGGAGAAAAAAAAAGATACTAAGAATAAATTTAATACCAAACTAAAACTCTTGGTTTAAAAAAAACTTTTAAGGACATTATTGAGTGGATCTGTAGGGGTTGGGGAAAGAGTGAGGAATTAATATAATCAAAATACATTGTATGAATTTCTCAAAGAACTGATAAAATATTTGTAGAAAAACAATATTGAGCTGTATAGATGGCTCAGCAGTTAAGAGCACTTGCTGTTCTCCCAGAGGTCCTGGGTTCAGTTCCCAACACCTATCTGGGGCAGCTCATAATCACTAATAACTCCAGTTCTGATGTCCTCTTCCTGCCTCTGAACACATGGGGTACACATTCATATGCCCCAACATACACACATACACATCAAATAGTAAAAAGTCTTTTAAATGAAAAAATAAATGTTACATTAATAAATTTGATAAGAATTCAGTCAATTGTGTTGTTGGGGAAGTCTTATGTCAATAAAGCACTGTTGAGCCAATAGAGAACCAACATAGGAGGGACTAGGAGTCGAGGAGGACTCTGGGTAGGAGAAACACAAGAGAGTCGAGATGTGACGCCATGGGGTAGGAAGCTCGGAAACTTCTCCGGTAAGAGACATACTTAAATTAACAATTATGGGGTAATTACTTAAGTCAGAGCTAGCCAGTAAGAAACAAACAAGGCCAACAGCTTCATAATTAATACAGCGTCTTGTGTGTTTGTTTGGGACTGATGCGGCTCTGGAACCAGGCTGGCAGGAAGGCTTCTCTCAAGGAAAAGCTTCTCTTAACATTGTGTTCTAGTACTTTTTTTCATGATTGAAACTTACTAGCTTGGACAAGCAACAAGAAGGATGTAATAATGAATAAAGGTGGTTTTTAATATTAGAATAAAATACCATAATGTAGGAAAGATCAATAGTTTTTACTTACAAAACTACATAGTCCATCAAAACAAGATGGATAATACATAAGAAAAACTCCCAACAACAAAAAAAATAATTGAAAAAGTTCCACAAAAGTGATTACCAATAGATAGAGAAAGATGTATGGAGGAAATCTAAAAACCACTATAACTAGGAAATTCTGGTGTTTTAAGGACAGGTCAGTGACTACAATGTGTAAATTTTCCCACACAAGAGAAATGACAAGTTATTCAATTTTGTATGTGTTGTTATGACTCAAATGATCCTTCATAACAATTAAAATTAACAACACTTTTCTAAGCTGGATTTGAAATTCTTACTTGGTTCCTGGCACACAGAATTCATTAATCCAACAGTATCTAGAAGACAAGTGGGTTGCTTACCTAGTATGAGCCTCAATTTTCCTCACCTATGATTTGGGATTGTAACAGTGGCCATCTCAAAGATTTGTTGCAGAGATTTAATTGCTTTATATTTTGAGTACTGCATGCATGACCCACATTTGAAACACAAATATACACTAAAAATATAAAATTGTTACGCCTCACTAAGAAAAGAAAAGTAGCATTAATTGGTGTAGGGATAGGTTGTGGATCCTGTTCTATGTACATGTGTCCAAGTGGAGTAAGGTACTGTTTGCAGTCTTTTCCTGGCCATTTGTGGTTACTAATTAGCTCAGGAATTATGGTGATGTACTATTGAGAAATACTTAGCAAACTCTCCAGGGCCAGGTTAATGATAGCTTTCATGGAGGCTGTGATTCCCTGAGCTCCCTGTGTGGAAATCTCCTACCTGCACTACCAAAATAGAGGAAGGAACACTGGGAGATGTGGCTGCATAGTATGACCACCTGAGAGAGCCAGGACCCCTCATTTCAGGAGGGAGCAAGTGCAGAAAATGAATGCTACCTCAACTTTTGCCTTGAAGTTGGACCGTGGCATCCATTGAAAGAGCAGGTAAGCTGCAGAACACGGGTCTAGCACTCAGGCTACTGAAGGGCATAAAAGGCAGGACTCAGCCAACAGAGTCTTCAAGGGACATCAGTGTTTACTGGAACTGTTTGTCCTGGTGCCTTGGTCCCAGGAACTTGTAGTCAACAACTCATGTTACTGAGTTTATGACAAGCAGAAAGATCACTTACAATAGAAAAAGACAGCAGCCTTGGTAGTTCATAAAAAGTCAAAACCTCCCTTCCTTCTTTCCTTTTCAGATAATGGAGGATACACAGAACAGATAAAATTTAGATAGATAGATAGATAGATAGATAGATAGATAGATAGGCACACACACACTATATATATATACATATATATTTATATCATATACACATACGCACTATACACAAATACATACACACACACTGGACACACTACATACATATGTACATACTACACACACACATTATACACATACACACATTACACACACACCACATACACTACACACACACTACACATATACACTTACACACACACACACACACACACACACACTGTGACTGAGCTGCACTAGTTCACAAGGGAATTATTTAACAACTTAAACTGTCCCAAACATCATAGAATTAGGTCAAAATGTTCTGCGTGGCAAATGGGGTTATCTCCTGATCATGGTTAGTAGCATTTACTGAAAGAAAAAACTTTAATTATAAATTTCAATGTTTTGAGACATTTCAATACTGCAGCTACAGACTTCACATGATCTTTAAAATAATCTGTTATGAGGAGCTAGTTTAAGTTCCATTTAACAGATTGGGAGAAAGAGTCAGAGATGCTAGGGATGGCTGAATAGAATCAAAGATCTAGCTTTCACATCTGATCTACGTGACTCTAAGGACCATGCTTTTCCCACCATGCTCTTTAACATGTAAACAGAAATTAGAAAAGTATTCTTCAGATGCCATGTGAGAAGGAAGGACCTAATTATAGGAGCACTGTGTATTGTGTACAGTTGTGCTAAGATCCCCAGCAGTGACATTAGTCTGCAGTACTGTGTAAGGATAGTGGGGGGAGGAGGATGGAAGAGAAAGCTGGGTTTTGCAGTGTGGGCACTTAGGACACGTATCTAAGAACATTGGCTGGAGAATGAAGTGGTGGGTTGCTGAGTTTGGGGAGGGAATAGGAAGTGGAAGTTTTACGATCAAAGAACAAACACACCAAGATTGAAGGAGTACACACTCCAAACATGTGAATGAGGGCAAAAGAGAGGAGTGTTTCAAGTTTTGAGAGGTGAAAGAATTGATCAGTGAGTCCCACTGAAGTTGTGTCTCTCTGATTTCCTTCAGCAAAGACCTGATGTCCCGGAGTCAGGAGAGCAATCGGCTAACAGTCTGCAGCTCCTGCCACCCACAGGATGCACGTCAGTTTCTGAGCGGAGGCTGTGAAATTTCAGGATATTTCTACCGAACACAGAACATAGTAAGGGGTCCCACTCTTTCCGATGGACAGCCCCAGTAATCAGTCTGTCCCTCCCTCTGTTGGGTGGGCTGAACCCTTTACAGTCCTTGTCTGCAGTCTGACCCTTTGTTTCTCAGATCTGCTTCCTGGCTCTGACATCTTCCATGGGTCATAATCTATAACCCTGTTAGCCTGCACACTTCTTTTAGCATCTGCTTCCTGGAGTATGCAGTGTATACAGTCTGTGAAGAAGGTAAAGATAGAAAGGAATTGGGATTTTGATCATTTGTTTGAGACAGGTAGATAGAGCTCCTAGAGAATGTGGCAAAAATGTTTCTAGGGGAATGCAATTTACCAAGTATTGTGGTTTGAATGTAAACTTGCTCTCACAGGCTTCTGTGTTTGAACACATGGTCTCTAGTTGGTGGTGAAGTTTTGGAAGTGACAGATCAGTAGGAGGTGGAACCCTGATGAAGGATATAGGTCACTGAGGGTGGGCTTTAGGGTTCACGGCTCTGCCTTACTTCCTGCTTATAGAGAGAAGCCTTTTCCTTGCCAGCCGCTTTGTTTTTCCCTACCAGTCGCCTGGGCTCTGCCGCATTGTAGTCCCCAAATAACACACAAAACGTTGTATTAATTATGAAGCTGTTGGCCTTGATTGTTTCTTACTGGCTAGCTCTGACTTAAGTATTTAACCCATCTAAGTATTTCTCTTACTGGATGGACATCTTACTTCTCTGGCGGGCTACATGATGACTTCCTGTGTTCCTCCTACTCAGAGTCCTCCTGGACTCCTAGTCCCACCTATCTTACTTCCCTATTGGCCAACAGTGCTTTATTGACATATACACAGGACTTCCCCATCACCTGCTCAGCTTCTGCTTCCTGTGGATCTAATGTGACTGACTCCTTCTGCAGTGCCTTCCTTACCAAGACAGATTACAACCCCTCAAGAACTGCAAGCCCCCCCCAAAAAACAAAAAAACAAAAACTGTAATCCAGATAAACCTTGCCTCCCTGTGATTGTTAGTGTGTTACCATGAAAAACTCTGGTTATAAAGATGTGAGATGGGCCTGTAACATTCCTATAGGGAGTTATTCTCAGTTGCATTAATTGATGTTGGAAGGCCCACCTACCGTGGATGACACACATTCCTTAGGTATGGAATCCTGGGCTGTATTTTAAGAGTGCAGAGCACTGCCATGCATGCACACATGACCCTCTTCTCCTGAGTGTAGACATAGTGCAACCTTCTGCTTTAAGCCCTGATGCCTTCCTTTCCTCACCATGAGGGACTTGTCACCCAGAACTGTGAGCTGGAAGAAATCCCTTACTCCCTGCATTGCTCTGGGTGTGTTTTTATCATACCAACAGAAGAGACACCAAATGCCCACTCAGGTGGCTTCTGTTTTGGGTATCACAGCCTGATACACCAAGAAGGGAAACAAGAAATACAGCAGACAGAAAATGCAACATAGACAGAGAAAGTGGAAGCGGGAAAAAAAAAGAGTTCCTGACATTTCCACTTTCTTTTTGGTTTTACGAGACAGGGTTTCTCTGTATTGTTTTGGAGGCTGTCGGTCCAGCCTGGCCGCGAACTCACAGAGATCCACCTGCCTCTGCCTCCCAAGTGCTGGGATTAAAGGCGTGTGCCACCACTGCCCGGCAGGATGAGGGGAACGGCAGGATTAAGATGCTTCCAAACTCCACCTGGGTGTGCACAAGCCCCTGCGAAGAAGGCTGCTCCTGACTGAAGGGGCCTGGCAGCTGCTGCTCCAATTTTTAAAAGTTGCTGCTGTCAAAAGTACTTCCAGTAGTATATTGTGTTCATTGATGCCAGTAAAATTTTAATGAGTTAATTAAGAGTAATTAATTGGTTCTGATGTTACTACTCAAATAGCAAAATCATTAAGATAGCTTTCGTTGTAAAATTTACTTCCAGATAGCAGGAGAGGATTTATTCTGAGTTGTTTTGTTAAGTTTGGAAGCCAGGCATGATGGCTCACCTCAGAAATCCCTGGACTCAGGATCCTGGAACAACAGGATAGCCAGGAGTTTGAGGCAAGCCTGAGCTTCATAGTGGCTTCCAGTCATCGTTAGGTTACAGAATGAGACCTTGTCTTAAAACATTACACACACACACACACACACACACACACACACACTGACTTTAGTAAATTTCTTTTCAAGGAATTTTCAGGGCATTCTCTGCACAAAGCAAGAGTGCAGCGATCTCTGGAATTGTAAGAAACAAGCCCTAGAGGGCCTGAACTAACTCAAGGAATGGATCCTTCTGATCTATCAGAGGAGCTGGGATTTTAACAAGTGTAATAACAGACTTAGAAAGCAAAGTACAGATACAATGCTCAGGTTGTGAGGAAATAATTTCTTATCTTTTTTCCCTAGTGTGTGTGTGTGTGTGTGTGTGTGTGTGTGCCTTATAGAAAATACTCATAATTATCTGCTATAGTGATTTGAATATATTTGGCCCCCATAAGCTCACAGGGAGTGGCACTATTAGGAGGTATGGCCTCATTGGAAGAAGTCTGGTCTTGTTGGAGGAGGCTGAATGATGCACACCTTTTTAAAAAAATATTCTTTAAGTTTTATTTATTTTTATATTATGTGCATTTGGTGTTTTTGCCTGCATGTATGTCTGCAGGAGGGTATCAGATACTCTGGAACTGTTGTTACAGACAGTTGTGAGCTGTGATGTAGGTACAGGAAATTGAACCTGAGTCCTCTGGAAGAATAGCCAGTGCTCTTAACTGCTGAGCCATCTTCCTGGTCCCAGCACAAGCCTTTAATCCAGACCTTGAGGCTGCAGGGTCATAAATCTGGGCCACACCTTCTGTTGGAAATGTGTCACTGTGGGGGCGGGCTTTGAGGTCTTTTTCTCAAGCTTCACTCCATGTGATAGTCAGTCAACTTCCTGTTGCCTGCAAAATGTAGGACAGTCAGCTATTTCTCTAGCTCCAGGCCTGCCTACATGCTACTATGCTCCTTACCATGATGAACTGAACCTCTGAAACTGTAAGCTGCCACCACAATTAAATTTTTCCTTTATAAGAGTTGCCATGGTTGTGGTGTCTCTTCACAACAATAGTAAACCCTAACTAAGATATCTGGCAGAGACTATATTGTAGAGACGATAAATTGAGTAAAAACATGAAAATTAGAGACAAGGATGAAAGATGGATACTTATTACCACTGCTTTTAGCTGTGTAACTTGTTTAACTGAAGAGATTCCCCAGAAAATCGTCTTATGGTCTCTTAGATTATGGGTAATGCTCTTAGCTACTCATCTTTGATCAATGAGGCACTCATTGGAGAAGTCATTTAACCTGACACAAACTCAACCTATATATAAAGTCTAGTGTTAAGTTTAAAAATAAGCAAACGTGTAAAGATCATTTTAAAGACAAACATGCCTGTAACCCCAGTTCTTAGGAGGTTGAGGTAGGCAGTTTGCTTCATCCCAGAAATTCAAAACTAGCCTGGACCATGGAGTGGACTTGGTTTCAAACATCAAAAACAAATTATTTAAAACATATTAATTATATAACCAGAGAGGTAGGTTAGTGGGTAAATGTACTTTCCATCAGGTCTGATGATCTAAATTCAATCCCTGGAACCCATGTGGTGAAGAGAACTGACTTCCAGAAATTTTCCTCCAGCATGCATGCAACCACACATATACATATACATATACATATACATATACATATACATATACAAATAAATAGATACATTTTTCCCAAAATAATTTTCACATAATAATGATCATTAATCTGCAGCTGGGCTTTCAGACCTTTGAGACAAGGTTCTGTTACATAGCAAAAGCTGGCCTTAAACTCAAATCCTTTTACCTCACTCTCCAGTGCTGGGATTAAAGGTGTGTACCATGACGCCCAGTTTAGCAGGTTTTTTTTTTAATCTATAAGAAAGGACCTATAGATGAGTATTAAAAACCAAGAGCAGGCTTTTTTTTAATGTTCAATGTACCTTGACTCACCAATTATAAAACAATTATAATGGAAATGAGAATAGCACCTGAATATCAAATATAGTCCTCATCATAATGTTCACAGAGACCACCCGAAGTGAATTAACAAACAACAAAGCATCAAGATCTAATTCACACCTATATATATATATATATATATATATATTAATTTATCAAATAGTTCCCTAATTAAGACATTCTTAAAAACTTTCCATTGGTCTATCTCTATATAGATAACACAGCAAGGTTTTCGAATAGTAAATGTTAAATAGCACACATCTACCTTAAGAAAGTTGGGCAAGTTATTTTTGTTGTAATGATACCTGAAGGACACTGTCTTCAACTGAGGCCTAAAGCCATGGTGATTAGCGTTTAATTCCCTATTGGTACAAAGGCACACTCTCATAAAATCCCATCAAGAAGCAGCTGTAGATTCACTGAGGGTCGGGTTGTAGAGCCATACATAGAAGCTACAGGGTTTGATCAACAAGGAGGAGGAAGGAGTAAGAAGGCAGACAGAGAGGGTTTGCCTGGCAGTTGTCTAGATGTCTCTGCTGTCCTTTGAAGGTCAGTCTGAGTCTGGCCCAGAACCAAGATCTAAGTTTCAGATCATGGCAGGCTTATGAGAACAGCGTAGCCTGGAACATCTAATCCCACCCTGGCCTGCCCTAAAAAGGCCCTGAATTTGCTTGGCTCACAAGCCTGCTGCAAGCCTTACTCCCTGGGGTTGTTCTCCAGAAATTAAAGCATAGAAGAGCAATACTACATTTTCCTCAGTTTTGATTCCGGGCTTTATCACATTAATTTTTTTTAAGACGTTTCGTCTTCCCACATACCGACTCTTAGAACAGATGGCTTAAAATGTCTGCTAGGAAATGGGCTGTAGTCAGCAGATGAGTGATATATGGCCATGCTTCCCTGGCTATGATCGCCCCCAAGTACCTAACTGCTAACGTGACACCAGCACCAGGCACTTTTTTCTCCAGGGGTCACAGGCCTCCTTTCAATGGTTA